AATGATTGGTGATACGATATTGTATGCTAATCTGCTACCATTGAGTATTGCTTATTTTGATTGTATTTTGGGAATGGATTGGTTGACGAAATACTGTGCCACCATTGATTGTGTGAGTAAATCTGTCATGTTTAGACCACCTAGCATGCCTGTGTTTGTTTTCACTGGGAATGGGATAGTTCCCCTACCATACTTGATTTCATTTATGAAAACTAGAAAATTGTTAAGAACAGGTTGTCGGAGCTACTTGTGTAGTGTATTGACTGAGTTTTCGGATAGTGCCAATGTGGAAACTATTCCTGTGGTTTGTGACTTTCCTGATGTGTTTCCTAACGACTTACCTGGGGAGTTAATTGATAGGAAAATTGAGTTCACCATTGATGTTGTACCTAAGACAACCGATATCTAAAACTCCATACAGAATGTCCACTATTGAACTAAAAGAATTGAAAGTCCAACTCCAAGAACTTTTAGATAAGAAGTTCATCCACCCGAGCACATCACCTTGGGGTGCTCCAGTTTTGTTTGTAAAGAAGAAGGATGGGTCATTGAGATTATGTATAGATTACCGTGAATTGAACAAAGTAACTATGAAGAACAAATACCCCTTACCCCAAATAGATGACCTATTCGACCAACTCCAGGGAGCCCAAATGTTATCTAAAATTGACCTTAGATCCGGGTATCACCAACTAAAGGTCAAAGCAGAAGATGTTAAGAAAACCGCTTTTCGAACTAGATATGGGCATTATGAATTCCTAGTCATGCCATTTGGGGTAACTAATGCACCTGCAACACTCATTGACTTAATGAACAGGGTTTAAACAATTCCTTGATGAGTTTATTGTTGTGTTCATAGATGATATATTGTTTTATTCTAAAAACAGGGAAGAACGTGAGAATCATCTGAGAATTGCTTTACAGATCTTAAGGGAAAGGAAATTATACGCCAAATTCTCTAAATGTGAATTCTGGTTTGACAGTGTGGCATTTTTGGGACATATAATCAACAAGGACGGTATCTCTGTTGACCCTCAGAAAATTGAAGCTATTGTGGACTAGCCAAGACTAACTAATGTGTTAGAAGTTAGAAGTTTTCTGGGACTTGCAGGTTACTACAGAAGATTTATAAAAGACTTCTCAAAACTGGCTATGCCACTGACCCAGTTGACACGGAAGAATGTACCATTTGATTGGAATAATCAGCGGGAATCGGCTTTTCAAGAATTAAAAACCAGATTAGTGACTACACCAATTTTAACTTTGCCTAATAGTATTGATGGGTTCCAAATTTACAGTGATGCTTCCTATAAAGGCTTGAGGTGTGTCTTAATGTAAAATGGGAAAGTGATTGCTTATGCTTCTTGGCAACTCCGACCTTATGAAAAGAACTATCTAACCCATGACCATGAATTAGCCGCTGTAATTTTTGCTTTAAAAATTTGGCACCATTATCTATATGGAGTGACTTGTGAAGTATACACAGATCATAAAAGTTTAAAATACTTCTTTACCCAAAAGGAACTGAACATGAGACAAAGAATGTGGCTAGAATTGATCAAAGACTATGACCTGCAAATTTTGTATCATCCAGGGAAGGCAAATACCGTTGCAAATGCGTTGAGCTGAAAATCCATTAGGAATTTGTCATGTTTGCTCACTGGCCAGAAAGAATTATTATGTGTGACAACCCTTACTTCTAATTAGTGCTAATCTATGATTAAACATGATAAGTAACTGATAAGAATGAAATTCTAAACTGATTGTATGAGTGTATTGTTTTGAATGCATTTCTATCTGTTTGATTTCTGAATGAATCTGTTCATGTTTTAACTTTGGACTGCGAATTGAAGGCCTTATCGGTGACCGAATCTGAAATTGATTAGTGTTATATGCTAATTAAGATTTATGTGATTTTATCGTAGGTTTAATTAAATGTCAATTTGGAATAATTAAATTAGATTAAATAAAGTTAAATTATATTAGTTTGCATTTACTACCAATTTGCCATTGAGTGGATTATGCTAGGCCACTACTTCTCTCACCCTTTACATTGTTTAGCATCTTTCTTCACTTCATCTTCTTGAGACCAAAACCGAGAGAGAGGGAGGCTTGGAAGAAAAATTGTTTTCAACAAGAATTAGCTTGGAGATTTAGAGGAATTGAAGGAGATTGCAAAAATTGAGCTTCCATACCTAGAATTCAAGGCCTAAGGTAGGAAAATCATCTTCTTAATTGTGAATTCAAGTTATCTCTTGCATGTTTCATGGAAATTTGGAGTTAAAGTCAAGAATTTGTCTAAAGAGTGGAATTAAGTAGTAATTCATGCATGCATGTACATATCATAGCATTTTGAAGTTGTTTTTCATGAAGTTCTTACATGCAAGTTCATATTTTAGCTGTAGCCCATGAATTCATCATGTCTCTCTATCAAATTGCCAATTTAATCTTGGTTTGAAGTGCTGAAATTCAAGGGAGATCATGCATGTTGCATTTAAGTTTTATTCTTGGAATTTCTTTGAAATTGGTGTTCAATTGGCTTACCTTTGGGCTTGATTTTACAAATTGATCTTCAAAAACATGTTGTAGTATGAGTTTGCAAGTGTTTTCCAGAAACTTGGCCCAAAAGGTTGAGTTTTGATGTGTTGAATGCTTGGTTTGAGCTTTGAAGACAAATCTGGAAATTCCAGATTTGGCTTCTACGCTCGAGCGAAGGATTCCACGCTCGAGCGACCATCGTTTTGTTCAGAGCTCCGCTCGACCGACGGAATGCTGGCTCGAGCGTAGATTGCAAGCTCATAGGTTTTTGGTGCACGCAGACGCACGCTCGAGCGACGAGACCTACACTCGAGTGAAGAGCTGTGTCTCACGCTCAAGCGAGCATCGAGCGGGAATTTTCAACATCCAGTACTTTTGCATTTTTACAGACCGCTCGAGCGAGGAAGTCTACGCTCGAGCGACCCCTCTGTTTTGGCAAGCTCGCTCGAGCGAAGAAAGCCACGCTCGAGCGAGACCCCTGTTTTCAGCAAAATTTGAAAAGTGTTTTAAAGTGCATTTTGGCATCCTCATTCCATCCTAGGCATTCCTAGGCCAAGTTTAAGGCATCTTAATGTGGATAATGTTATAGAACCACACCAAGTCTAGATAAGGGGCTAAGTTATTGATTCCCTAGTGCGTAACTTAGTGTGTGTTCGTTCTGTAACTATGTAGGGTTAGCATCCGAGGACGCTCATTAGCCTATCTGTAGCCCAGTGCTCTTCAAGTAATAATGTTGTAAAGATATGTTCAATTATGATTATTTTTTGAATGATCAACTGTACTGCTTACTGAAATGCTATTGTTCAATGAATGAATGTTTGTCCTATTTGTAAAATGTACTCGTGGCATCCATAGCAACCTACTGTTACTGTTACTGCTACTGTTATAGAGATCTATGTCAGTTCCCATGTTGGAACTACTACTGTTTACCGTTATGATGGCCATCAACTGACTGTTCGGTCTGTTAAGACTTACTGTACTGTTTTGCTATTGGATGTACCACATATGACTGCTTTGGTTTCTAAATGACTGATATAACTGTTTAATTACTGAAAGGATATTCATTCTTAACCTCTTTACATAGCTATTATTCACTGGGCTTCAGCTCACTGTTTATATTTATATGTAGGTGTCCAGGCACCGGACCGATGTTAGGAGCATCAAGTTAAGCTCCCGTTTTGTCAAGCCAACCACCATGCCTCACCTCGAGGTTCCGAGTCTGTTCAAGCTAAGGCTATTTTGGGGTGTCTTAGTTTCACCCTTTTGTTTCTGATCTGTAATAAATGTTTAAGACTTGACTGCACAGTTATAGTTAGGGATTTGGTCCCTGACATGGATGTTTGTGTGTATGTCACATGTACATATATTTTGGTTATCAGGTGTGGCATGTTTATAAAAAGTCTTTTTGCATCCAGATTGTCACAGCTCATTGGGTATCTTTTATTTACTATTTTGGCTTCCGCCAGCCCCTTTACTCTGTATTACTGTCATTACTGTTAAGCAGGCCTTCGGTAATCACGGATTACTGGCCGGTTACGGTGCTAAACCCATAGGGGCGAGTTTGGGTCGTGACATTATGTGACCTGGAAAAGAATGAAATTGAGATTGTGATGCGTGAACAGGGCGAAATTTTAGCTTCTATCTCCGCCCAGCCTGCAATCATTGAAGAAATTAAGGAGAAACAACCGCAAGATGAATTCCTGAAAAAGATCATGGATGAAATTGACTCAAAGCCAAGGCCTGGGTTCATACTTCAAAACAATGTGTTGAAATTTCAGGGTTGCCTTTATGTACCAGACTATGATGATTTGAGGAAACGTGTACTGACTGAGGCCCATAATTCCAAATTTGCTATGTATCCGGGAAACACAAAGATGTATCATGACTTGAAACAAAATTTCTAGTGGCCTGGGATGAAAAAGTGCATTGCAGACTTTGTGGCTAGATGTTTGCGTTGCCAACAAGTTAAAGCTGAACATCAGTAACCCGCCGGATTACTTCAGCCGCTCCGAATACCAGAATGGAAATGGGAGCACATCACGATGGACTTTATCATCGGATTGCCTCGCTCATCCCGAGGTATGGATTCTATCTGGGTCATTGTTGATCGTTTAACTAAGTTTGTCCATTTTCTGCCTGTTAAAACTATTTATAATGTGGACAAGCTAGCTAACATGTATATGAATGAAATTGTGAGATTACATGGTGTACTAGTATCTATCGTATCTGACAGAGATTCGAAGTTTACATCAAGATTCTGGCAGAGTTTGCAATAGGCTTTGGGAACCGAATTGCAATTGAGTAGTGCCTACCACCCACACACAGACGGTCAATCCGAAAGAACCAATCAGACTTTAGAAGATATGCTGTGGATGTGTGTGTTGGACTTCCAAGGGAATTGAGAGACTTATCTTCCTTTTGCCGAGTTTGTCTACAATAACAGCTATCATTCAAGCATCGGAATGGCTCCATATGAAGCTCTGTATGGAAGGAAATGCCATTCTCCTATCTGTTGGGCTAAGGTAGGTGACAGACCATTATTAGGCCCAGAACTTGTACAAGAAACAACTGAAAATGTGAAATTGATTCAACAGAGGTTGCAAATTGCACAAAGTTGCCAAAAGAGCTATGCAGATATCCGACGACGAGATAGAGAGTATGAAGTCGGGGATCATGTGTTTATAAAAGTGACTCCTATGAAAGGGCAAACACAGTTTGGGGTAAAAGGCAAGTTGGCACAAAGAAACATTGGGCCATATAAAATCCTTGAGAAGATTAATTCAGTAACATACCGGGTAGGCTTACCTCCGATGATGGAAAATATGCACAACGTTTTTCATGTCTCAATGCTTCGAGATTATTTACGAGATCCACTCCATGTAATTGAACTGGCTCAGGTGCTTTTGAAAGATGATTATACGTACGAAGAGAGGCCAATACAGATCATTAACCGCCGAATCAAGAGATTGAGAAACAAGGAAATTCCATTAGTAAAAGTCGATTGGCAGAATCATGGAGGGACCTAAGAAACTTGGGAGATAGAGGAAGATATAAAGAAAAGATGCCGTGAATTGTTTCCTTTGGACCCGGTATTCTTCCAGAGTGAAGGTAATTCGAGTTTGGAGGACCAAACTCTTTAAGAGGGGAAGACTGTAATAACCCCAACCTATGATAAACACTAATCCATGCTTAATTATGCCTAGTAAGTGATTAAAGTGAATTTCTGAATTATCTGCTGCCTTATTTGAGTTTATATCTGTTTAACGTAGAATGATATGTTCATGTTTCCGTTCTGTTCTACAAATTGAAGGCCTTATCGGCATGCGATCATGAAATTAACTCAAGTTATGTGTTATTTGGAATTTTTAGAATATTATGGTGGGTTTAATTAAAATTCGATTCGGAACAAATTAATTAGAATAAATTCATGCCAAATTGATTAACTTAAGCCAAGTTTAATTAGAGCTCCTTAATCAAGCCTATATAAGGCATATGAGACCTCTAGGCTTTATTTTACACACTCACTTTCTCATCTTTGGAGTCTTCAAACGTGTGAGAAAAGGAGAGCAAGGGGGAGACTTGAGATCAACTAGAGAAATGAGTAATTACAAGTAAATTGTGGAGAAATTAGAGAAACCAAGCTAGGCTTGCTAAAATCCAAAGGAATTGCCCATTTTAGGTAAGAATTCAGCTCTAGACTTGTGACATTGAGTTAGTAACATGTGAATTCCATAGAATTGTAGGATTACATACAAGAATCAAACCCAAATAATGGAATTAGGCATGATTCATGCATACATGTGCATTTCATTACATTTGGAGTATGTCTTTCTAAGAAATTCCCTCATGCATGCACTAACTTAAGCTTAGTTGTGGGAATTCATCATGTTTTACATCCTCTTATCTCATTTGATCATGTTTTGAAGGGTTTGAATCCAAGTCAATACATGTATGGTATATATACGTTTTCTAAATTTCAAAGTTGAATTTAAACCAAATGACGATGCTTTTGGACTTAATTTTGTGAAATGATTTAGAATTCTCAATGTTTTCCAAGTTCACAGATGATTCCTCAGGTTTTTGGCCCAAATGGATGAGTTTTGTAACTTTGAAGTTGAGTTTTGGACTTGAGAGTACAATCTGGAAATTCCAGAAATTCCACCCTCCGCTCGAGCGACAGAACCTGCGCTCGAGCGACCACTCTGTGTCTCACATCTCCGCTCGAACGACCAAAGGACCGCTCGAGCATTAAATGCCTGCTCCCAGAAGTTTGCATGTTTTGCAGACCGCTCAAGCGACAATAGTTGCGCTCAAGCGAAGGCATGAGTCTTACGCTCGAGCGAGTGTCGAGCGAGCATCGAGCGGAGAAATTTAACAACCAATACTTTTGCAGATCGCTCGAGCGACCACTCACATTTTGCATGTCCGCTCAAGCGAAGGAAGTTGCGCTCAAGCGAGGACCCCTGTTTTCAGCATTTTGACTAAATGTTTTCAAATGTATTTTTGTATCCTCATTCCATCCTAGGCATTCCTAGGCCAAGATTAAGACACCATAAAAATGATAAGAAATAGAAACATGCCAAGATAAGAAAGAATTAAGTTAATGTTTCCGGGTGTGTAATTCAGTACGTGTTCACTTTGTAATTGTGTAGGTCACACGCTGCAAGATGTCTGACTTGTCATTCCGTCTGTGTTGCCTTGAAGCCATCTGTTAATTGTGACTAATAACTTTGTAAAGCTATGTTCAACATATAAGTATTTTCTAAATGATATAAGATGATCTATTTTCTGAAATATTATTTTTTTGTATGAATGAATAGTTGTTCAATGTTTCTGAAATGTACTCGTGGCATCATTAGCTTCAGATGACATCTGTTATCTGTTCTATTATGTCCCAATTATGGGTGAACTGTACGTCTCATGAGCTAATTGTTATGGATCCTTCTGTATACGTCCCATTTATGAGCCAACTGTACGTCTCATGAGCCAACTGTACTGTCTCTGTGTACGTGAGTCAACTGTATGCCTTTATAGCCGTCCCTTTATGGGTCAACTAGTTCTATTAGGGCTAATGAATGTACCACGTATGATCATTTGCAAATTCCAATATTGAGTATGAAACTGAATCTGTTTCTGTTATGAACTCTGATTTCTGAACATGACCATGAACCTATTTCTATTAACTACTAAATTCTGTTTTGCGTAACTGTTTTGGACAACATTCATTAAAATCCTTTACTTGGTTATTATTCACTGGGCTCCCGCTCACCATTTATATTATGTATGTAGGTGATCAAGCACGCGACAAGACCTAGGGTTGATGGCCTAAAATCCCGTTTTGTCAGCCACCTTTTGCGCCTCCCAAGGAGGTTCCCGATCAAGTCAAGCCATGTGGTAATGTTTTATGAGCATGTAAAACCTTGTTTACTTTTGGGTTGTGAATAGTTTTTATTTGGTGATCTATACATGGAGTGGCGAATAATTACTGTATCTATGCGACGTCACATATACGTTTGTAAAAGCTTATGAAAATTATTTTTGTCCCATGTATGTCTGCACGGCTTGATGGACGTTGTACTTTGTATCTTTGCTTCCTCAGCCCCTAATTATATGTTATTTTGTCTAAAGGCCTTTGGTAATCCAAGGATTACTGGCCGGTTACGACGCTAAACCCATAGGGGCGGGTTTGGGTCGTGACATTTAGGACTTTAATTTGACTAATTTTTCTGGTATATATGTACTCTCCTTCCCCTCAATGAAACATTTAATCATAGGCGCGGATTATACTAGTAGTCCCTATAGTTTGGAGTGTATCACTTTGGTCTTGATTTTTTATTCGTGATATATTTAACCTTGAATTTTGAATCTTATTTCAAACAATGACAATAAAATATATTTCATTTGCAAACGGTTCATTTCAAAGGCAAAGTTGTTATACAACTTATTTTGTGTTGGTTAATTTGTATATTGTTTGAAATGTAAAGGCTTTTTTTTAATGAATGATGTTGGAACTTTCTTGGGTATAAAGTTCTATTTTGTCTGGTTTTTAGAATCTATTTTGAGAAATTTTTTCTAAGAAACTAAAAATTAAATTGGTGAAATTTTTTTTTAAAACACATCATTCTTATATAATTTTATCTTTTGGAAAGATAAAAATAATTTTTTAAAATATTTTTTTATTTTATTTTTGTTAAATTAGTTTTTATTTTTTCAAAAGTCAAACATGGCAACAACTTTAATGTCATTATTAAATCAATCCATTACATCAAAAAATCTAAAACAAAAAACATTTCATATATTAAACATATGGATTACACATTAAAAACTTAATAACCATCCATTACATAATAACCATCCAAAATTATTTATTAACAAATACAACCATCTATTACATGATAACTATCTAAAAATATCAACAAAAACAACCCCTCATTATATGATCATCATCCAAACACATATTAAAAACTAATTTGGTAAAAAAATAAAAATATAAAAGATTTATTATTTTTATGTAATTTTATCTTTAGTAGAAAAAAACCATTTTAAAAATTTAAAAATAATTTTTTGACATTTATTTTTGTCAAACTAGTTTATATTTTATTATATTGAAAACTTTGCCCTTGAAATGAAGTAACAGTGTCTTTAATTATCCTTATTTAGAATTAGATTCGAAATTAATGGTCAAATATATTATAATTTGAAATGTCAGAAATCAAAGTGAAACAATTTCAAATTACAAAAACCATTAGTGTAATTCGTTTAATCATAATATTTATTTATTTTTGAGGTTGACGCATACTCCCAGTTAGTTTACCAGTAAATCAAGATGTCCATTTAGAGAGAGAGAGAGACAGAAAAAAAATTAAAACCGGTATTACGCAACCACCAAGGATCCTCTAAAGTATTTTTTTCCTAAAGTTTTCTAAAGTGATGTATTGTGTGGTTGAGATTTAGTGCTGAAAAATTGATGTGACTTGTCATTAAATCTCAACCACACAATGCACTACTCTAGAAAACTTTAAGAAAAAAAAACTTTAGAAGATCTTTGCTCTTATGCAACACCAGCATCACCATGACAACAACAAAAACAAATATTTATGCAGATACAAACACTTCTTGCGAGGATTTATCTTTCTGACTTTTATTTAAAGAAGTTCTTATATTTCCTTAAAATAAAAATAAAAATAAAAAAACTTCAATTGCTTGCGCAAATGTTGCAATAACTAACATACATAAAATTGAAAGACAAAAATAATGTATTCGAATTCATCATAAGTTTCCCTTAAACCTAAATATTGAGGAATATTATGCGTGACTGAGAGGGTAATTTGAGCCGTATAAATGAGCCGAGCTAAGTTTGCGTGGATCTTAGCTTTGGGCTGTGCAAATGAGCTGGGCTAAGTTTGCGTGCAAAGTGAGCCCAGCTAAGTTTGTATGGGCCTTGTGTTTGTGCTGTGTAGCAAGCCGAACTAAGTGGACTTTGTCTAGTTCTGTATGTCGTTCTAAGTTGACATGGCTTTGGGACCGTGCTAAGTTTGGAAGACTGGACAACAGTTGACAGGTTATGACAGCAAAGTTGACCACATGACTGAGCCGAACAAATGAGCTAGGTCTTACAGTTAGCACGGCGTTACGCGTTGCTCGACAGTCTTAAAGGCAAGCCTTCAGTACGGTTACTCGGTCCTTAACTAACCGGAATAACTTTCTTAGCTTGGTGGCCGAGCTAAGAGTTGTGTTATTTTACTTGCGCTTTGGAGATAAGGGTGTTGAAGGATAGACACTATCCTTTAAGAGATAGACTCTTGATAAGACTCTACGAAGAGGACTTAGACTCCTACTAAGATTGTACCTTGCGGAATATAAAAAAGTTCAGAGATAAACTCTAGAGAGGTAATGCAATTTCATTCACAAAATACCTGAGAGTTTTTTCCATATTGATCTTAAAAACTAACTGAAGTATCGGAGAAGTTTTCTGGCATACATTCGCCATTAGCTCACTGAAGTTGTTTTGCAAGAAGAGTGTCACTGTTCGTTGGAGATTCAAGGTTGATCACAAAGAGTACACATGACGAATATTTCGTGACCGTACACTGATGATAAAGATGAACAAGCATACAAATATTTCTATTACCATATCTTCAGGAGTAAGGGAAGCTGGAGAAGGATCTCAAGTGGCTTAGTGTTTGTTACTCCTATTCAAGGATCTGGAGTGAATATTTTTGTTCTTAAAGCCCCCCTCATTCATCTTTGTTAAAAAAACAAAATCATTGAAAAGTTAGGAAACACGAGTCGTTTAATTTAAAAGTGTTCTCTAAAAAATGAAGATGTTTCATAGAACACTTTTTGGAAATAGTATTTTTGTAAAACAATTTTCCAAACGAATTAATTAAAGGAGGAAATTACATCAAAGTGCCTTCATAACAACATCCCCACAAAATGTAGCAAAATCAAGGACCCGAACTACATCTAAATATAGTAGTCAAAGAGTTCTCTATGCCATCAGCCACTGTCATCCATTGTCAAAAGAGAATAAGGTAGAACTTGAAGCTGGAATATATCAGAAAAGCCGACAAAATGAGCAAGCTTACAGGCATTTCTTAACTGAGATCTGTAATGAAGAGAAAATTTGCAAGAGTGAAATAGTTGGGTAATATGACATACATAAAAAAATTCAAGGTGCAATGATGGTCAAGAGCCCATTTCAAGGCAATCTTAATAGCAGCAAGAGGAGCAACATTTTGATTCACAACCAGTTAATGAAAAAAAGTTCCAACTAGAGTGAAATGAGATGAATGAGGACCTCTAATTGTATGTTGTTCACAGTAGCGGGTTAAGGATTTTTGACGCCTTAGGTTAAACGCTAAAATGTGACCTTATTCGATTGTGACTGTTAAAATCTGAGGCCTTTGACAATAAGAATATTTTGATTTTTTTTTTTTTTTTGTGGGTCTTAGATGATTGACTAAGTGGTTCGATGGTTGAGCCGCCTCTAGTTGTTCTAGGTATATAAATGATCAAGTAATTACAACAACATCATGGGGAAAGTTCCAAAATTTGGGTGTGCTCTTGTATGTCTGTTTTCAAAAAAAAAATTTATTTTTTTTTCTAGAAATAAAAATAATGTAAAGAGCACAAATACGATCACTTTTATATCAATTTGATTTTTGATTCAAATATTTTTTTAATACTTTTTAAAAATTAAAACTATTTTATAAAAAGGAAAATTATAGAAAAATGACATTCATGAAAAAAAAAATTACAAAATATATGAGAATAGTTTATAATTATAACAAGGCGTGATTTTGACTAGGGGTGCTTGTGGGTGAGAATCGATGAGTTTAGATAGAGAAAATCTCATCAGTAGTTGACACTCATGGTTTCGAAATTGACTAAGCGGGTTGAATAGATTGGTGAATGGATACTTATTGGATTGGCGGATTGAACAAATCTTAATTTTATAACAAAAAATCTAAATTTTTACTGAACAAATTATTTTTCAAAAAAGTAATAATTTTTTTAACTGAATAATGAGGAATGAGCTTTATGGTTTTATGAAAAGTAAAAAATATTCCTTTTAAGTTTCAATATATTATTTATTGAATAAATAAACAATATTATATATAAATATATATCAGAATTCCTAATTCCATTATCCGTGTGGTTGGGTTTTGTTTTGTGAAAATTTGTATCACCAAACTAAGGCTTGGTCTGACATATTTGAAAAAAGTCAAAAAGTTAAAAAGAATCTCGTTTGGAAATAGGTTAATTTAGTAATTTTTTAACTATTTGGTTAAAATATGAGCTTAAAAAAGCTAGTATGTTTGGAATGACTTTTTGACTTTTTATGAAAAGATGTGCAAAAAGTAGGGAGAAAAGAAAATCTTTGACTTTTTTGTATGGATTGTTGACTTTTTGGTTTTTTTAGTGATTTTTTGGCTTTTTGGTTAAACAGGTCGCTTCCCAAACAAGGCCCTAAGTCTCATTATCTTATTTAAGTCACATCACCTCTTTAGCAATGTTTTCAAAACCGGACCGGTGAGCGAATCGGAAAAGGGACCGGGTGGACGAGTCACTGGTTCAACTGTCGGGTCAAAGCGGTCGAACTGTGACGTCATAATTAATATTATATAATTAAAATTGAAAAAAGTCAAAAAGTTAAAAAGAGTCTCGTTTGGAAACAGATTAATTTAGTAACTTTTTGGCTATTTGGTTAAAATATGAGCTAAAAAAAGTTAGTATGTTTGGAATGACTTTTTGAATTTTTATGAAAAGATGTGCAAAGTAGAGAGAAACGAAAATCTTTGACTTTTTGGTATGGATTGTTGCCTTTTTGGTTTTTTTAGTGACTTTTTGGCTTTTTGGCTAAACGGGCCGCTTCCCAAACGAGGTTTTTAGCTATTTGGCTAAAATATGAGCTAAAAAAATTAGTATGTTTAGGATGACTTTTTAACTTTTTACGAAAAGATGTGCGAAAAATAGAGAAAAAATAGAATCTTTGACTTTTTGGTATGGGTTATTGGTTTTTTATTTTTTGGGCAAATTACATATACACCCCTCGAGGTTTGGTTAAATTACAGATACCCCCCTGAGGTTTGAGAAATTACGAATTCCCCCCTGAATGCTATATTTACATAAGAAATTAGGGGGTAAATTGTTATGAAAATACAAACCTCAGGGGGCGGGATGTAATTTCCGAAACCTCAGGGGGGTATCTGTAATTTAACCAAACCTCGAGGGGTGTATATGTAATTTGCCCTTATTTTTTTTAGTGACTTTTTGGCTTTTTGGCTAAACGGGTCGCTTCCCAAACAAGGCCCTAAGTCTCATTATCTTATTTAAGTTACATCACCTCTCTAGCAATGTTTTCAAAACCAGACCGGTGAGCGAACCGGAAAAGGGACCGGCTGGACGAGTCACCGGTTCAACTGTCGGGTCAAAGCGGTCGAACCGTGACGTCATAATTAATATTATATAATTAAAAAATATAACTATAAATTATAAATAAATAAAAATATAAATATATAAGAAAGAAAGAATAAATAATAAAAAAAAAAGAGACCGATCTAACCCTCTCGACCCGATCCGGTTCACCGGTTCTACCGGTTCGACAACTGGGTCACCTGTTTTTTCCGATTTTGGCCCCACTCCGAGTTTAGGAGGTTGATTGGACCAGAACAAGGCCCGGTTCCCGGACCAACAGATCTGACCGGCCGGTCCGGTCCGGGTTTGAAAACATTACTCTCTAACACATCATTTCAAACCCAATCCAAATCCAACTCATATTTCATAAAAAGTCAAAAAATACATTTATTTAGATCATCCCAAACAACCCCTAAAACTCAACTTTTTTGGAAGTGTTAAATCCATATCTGTTCTTTTATTACATCGAAACTATTCATTTAAAATTAAATTGACTAGATATTTACCGAACAATAATTTTGATAAATAATTATAAAACCATAACTTTTCCGTTCCCTCCCCTCTCCTTTTTTTTACTCCACCATTAGGATTTTTTATAATAATTTTTTAAAACACTCTTAAGTCACCTTTATAAGATTATTGCACCAAAATTATTACAAAAAAATTCTAATCCCATTAACAACCCTTACCTCATGGCGGACCATCTCTGACCTTTTCCCCCACCAAAATCTTGGGACAAGCTAGAAAAGGCAAATGTGTGATGTCAAAAATTCATTATCACCTGCTGAGGTTTTGACTTTGGACTAAGTTTCTTTTCGGTTCTTAAATAAATTGAAGAGGTATTTTTAGGTTTATTGGGTTTATTTTTAGATTTTATTTTAATAATTCGAACTGTTTGTATTTTAAGATTCATAAAGTATATTATTTCTGTAAAAAATAAATCGATTGAATAATGACAATCACGTGTTCGAATCAGTTTTGTATGAACTGTTTATTTTTTAACTATTTATTTCTTTTTTTTCTATACAAAACTGATTTAAACATGTGGTTATTGTTATTCGAACATGTATGATGTACTCAATGAATTCTAAAAATATTAACGGTTTGAATTATAGAAAAGGGACACAATAGTGGGCCCAATAAGCCCAATAACACCTCTTTAGTCCAATTAAAGACGAGAGATAAGCGCAATCCTTTGTCTTTATATCTGTTATCATTAATTCATATATAACAATTTAATTTGATATTTTATATATAAAAAATTAGGCTCAGTTAGTTTTGACCTAAATATTTATTCATTTTTTATTATTTGGTTGAACAAAAAGCAAATAAAACTTTCATCATTTTCTCAAAAATGACTTACCTTTAAAAATTTCGGAAATTAATTTTTATAAAGTTGACTCTTAACATTTTTAAATAAGTATCTTGACTCGTTAAAAAGTTATAAATAATATTTTATTGAATCAAAATTTCTTTTTTAGACAATAAGATATTTTTATTTCAACTATAAATCAAACTCCGAAAAACAAAAACAAAAATATTTTTTTGTATGTAAAATATTTTATGTCAACAAATGGAGCCCTTAAAAAAAATTATATTTGCACATTAAAATAATATTATGAAAATATAAATGGAGAATTTTAAAAAATAACGATAACGTGGTTGTCAGAAACCCAATTCACACACAGTAGCAGCGGCGCGAGCTGTTCTTGCGTTTTCAGACCGAGAGAGAGAGAGAGAGACGCTGTCGATTCTATCAAATCTTTACAGCATCGGACAAGTTCTCTCGGAGGCTGTTCGTATGAACATTTCTCATTCTCTATCCTCTGCATCAATTGTGTATATGTATGCATATATAGCTCTGATTCACTTCATATGTAGTTCGTAGAATTGCTCTGGTTTGCCTCATCAAATTATGGGTTTTGATTGTGGAACCCGTTTTGTTATCGTTTTAGCCAATTGGAATGTGGTTTTATATTGTCGTGGAGTTTAAATTAGGGGATCACTTGCAAGATTTTGATTAAAGCCTCATGATTTTTTAGGATTTATTTGTCAAATTAGTCATTTAAATCATGATTTCGAAGTGTTGTTAGGGTTTCGTTTGGTCTCTACAATCATCACTCGTCAGTGTGGATTCTCATGATTACCCGCCAACTGACTTTCAAAAACCTCCACAGAATACTCACACAACGGTCAAACCCATTCAAAAACTTTCACTCATATCAACATGAACACCAACCGTTCGATAAAATTACTCACCAAAAGTTCGTCTCCTTCCACCACTCCATGCTCACCTGTTTGCACAAAAAATGTCATTTCAAAGCCCTCGCCATCTTCAAGAAAAAGCTCGAGGAAGGTTTCGATAGCAACATTGATGAAGCTGCTGTTGCCATCGCTCTCAAGTCTTGCCGAGGAGACCCAAAACTCGGGTGCCAAATCCACAGCTTTGCCACGATTTCTGGGTTGGTTTCGCATCTTAGTGTCTCGAATTCTTTGATGAGCATGTATTGTAAGGCTGGTCTATTTGATCAGGCTTTGTGTGTTTTTGAGAAATTGACGAACCCCGACGTTGTTTCTTGGAACACAGTGCTTTCTGGTTTTGAAAATGTTAAAGATGCGTTGAGTTTTGCTTGTCGGATGAAATGTGTTGGAATTGTTTTTGATGCTGTGACTTATACTACTGTTCTTGCCCATTGTGCTGATCATGAAGAGTTTCTTTTTGGAATTCAATTGCACTCTCTTATACTGAAGTGCGGATTAGGTTGTGAAGTTTACATTGGGAATGCCCTTATAACAATGTATTCTAAATGGGGCCTTATAGTGGAAGCTGAAAGAGGGTTTGATGAATGAAATGGTCCAAAAAGATTTGGTTTCATGGAATGCGATGCTCTCTGGGTACACTCAGGAGGGAAATTATGGACTAGAAGCTATTTGGGCATTTATGGAAATGGTGAGAAAAGGGATGAAACTTGATCATGTCTCTTTTACTAGTGTAGTTTCAGCTTGTGGACAAGAAAGAAAGCTGGAGCTCGGGAGACAGATACATACTTTGACCGTTAAAAAGGGATATGTGATGAATGTTTCGGTTTGTAATGTTTTGATCTCAATGTATTCCAAGTGTGAGCTTGTCAAAGATGCAACATTGGTTTTTGAGAGCATGATTGATCGCAATGTGATCTCTTGGACTACTATGCTCTCTATAAATGGAGAAAATGCTATGTCTCTATTTAATGAGATGAGGTTGGATGGAGTTTACCCAAACCATGTTACATTTGTTGGATTAATTCATGCCATAACAACCAAGAATTTGGTGGAAGAAGGTCGAATGGTTCATGGGTTTTGTTTAAAATCTAGCTTTTTGTCAGAATTGAATGTTGCTAATAGCTTTATTACCATGTATGCTAAATTTCAGTCCATGAATGACTCGAAAAATATTTTTGAGGAGCTTAAGTACAGAGTGATTGTATCATGGAATGCTTTAATTTCAGGGTATGCCCAAAATGGCTTGGGCCAAGAAGCTCTACAGAGATTCTTGTCAGCAATAATGGAGTCGGTTCCTAATCAATTCACATTTGGCAGTCTCTTAAGTGCAATTGGAGCAGCCGAGGACATATCTTTAAAACATGGCCAACGATGCCACTCGTATTTAACAAAGCTCGGATTAAACACTGACCCAATTGTTTCAGGCGCCCTCCTCGACATGTATGCAAAGCGTGGGAGCATTTCTGAATCTCTTAGTGTTTTTGGTGAGATATCTGAAAGAAGCCAAGTTGCTTGGACAGCAATAATCTCTGCTCATGCAAGGCATGGAGACTATGAATCAGTGATGAGTTTGTTCGAGGAGATGGCAAGGAGAGGTGTCAGGCCTGACACGATCACCTTCCTATCTGTACTAACTGCATGTGGTCGAAAGGGGATGGTTGATATGGGCCGCCAAGTTTTTGACTCAATGGTGAAGGAACATTTGATTGAACCATCTGCAGAGCATTATTCTTGCATGGTAGACTTGTTGGGCCGTGCAGGGAGGCTGAATGAGGCAGAAGAGTTTGTTGGTCACATTCCAGGAGGGCCGGGATTGTCTGTGCTGCAGAGCTTACTTGGTTCTTGTAGGATACATGGGAATGTGGAAATGGGTAAGAGGGTAGCCAATGCTTTGATGAAGATGGAACCGCAGGAGTCAGGTTCTTATGTATTGATCTCCAACTTGTATGCCGAGAAGGGGGATTGGGAAAAGGTGGCGAAAATAAGGAGAGGGATGAGAGATAAGGGGGTGAGAAAGGAAGTAGGATTCAGTTGGGTGGATGTGGGTGATGCTAGTGGTTCCTTGTATTTGCACGGGTTCTCATCGGATGATAAATCACATCCACAGTTTGAGGACATATACAGGATGGCAGAATACATGGGATCAGAAATGAAATTTTGGAGAGAGACGCAGAAACAGAGAGGAGAGAGTTCGTAACATTTGAAGTCAAGAGATAAAAGTACTTTTGTTTTCTTGTGTGACATTGTTGAAAAGGAGGTCATATTTTTTCATTAGAAATCCCCACCAAGAGGGTGATTCATGGCTTTCTGCTCCACTCTTCTATTACAGACAATTTTATTCCTAAACTACTGTAAAATGTGGTTAGCAATCACGTTTTTACGGCAAAGTTTTTTACTTATTATTTGATGCAGTAAACTGCCTTTTTGCACTCTATTTTACCACAAAGCACATTTAAGTTGAAGACATAGTTAGCAATGGTGATTTTCAAGAAAAAAATGTGATTGCTAACCCCAGTAATTTGAGAATAAAGTTTGCTACACTATTTATTTAATTTTGAATTTAAAGAAGAAGAAAAATACATAAAATGGTTAAAACCCCACAAAACAGTATACAAAAACAGCAGTGGGATGTAAGAGGTTGCATATATGTATATGTGTTTGCGTGTGATATTTACATATGTGTATGACATGTCAGTCATTGTTAACCTTCATTAGTGCCCTTTTTGAGCTGTTTGTAGTTGGCAGCTTGTTGAAAAAGGTCCAATATGGTTTTTGTTAGCTGCCCATCGGCCAGAGGGTATGCTTTAAGGTTTACTGCTTTGCCTATTTGCACGTATACATACACAACAAACATCGCAGATCATATATACATACATATGCATATATTGCAACTGACAAATCTTAATATGGAGAATTGAAAACAAATTTCAAACACCATTCTTTGTTTAAACTTTAGTATGTGAAATATCATATGGCATAAACTCTGAATTCCCTCTCAAACCTTGATAGTTAGTTCCTTAATTTCCTTGGTTTTCATTTTGATGAGAATGGCAGATGGTAGCCAATTATTGTTGGAAAAAATGATTTTTGGGGACTTTAATTTAATATTAAAGTGTGGTGACTTTAATTAAATATTAAAGTGGGTCCTAACCATTTTTTGTGTTGGGTCCAAGTGAGCCAAAAACCATTGGGTTTTGAATAAGAAATTGCCAAGAAATTGTTTCATGATGTTAGATTCATGAATAGAATTTTAAAGAGTATTTATCTTTTTTCTTGGCTAAAGGGGGTGAATCCTTTGGGCATCCATACTTTTCATTTTGTAGAAAGGGGCTATGGATGCTTGGTGTTTTAATGACTAGCCTTAAAGGCTGGAAGCTTTTCCTCTCTCCCCTATACATGTATAAATTGAGACCTTCCTGTCAAGTTTCTATATAGAAATTTTTGCTTCCATTTTACAAGTCAGTTTGCTTGATAGTTCCTATTGTGAGAGAGTGCTGCCATTGTTTTGTTCGCTAAGCTAGACAGATAGTGTTTCTGCCGTAACTGGTTTTGACCGTCATATCCTGGGAGACAGACGCCGGGTTTCCTCAAGCACTCGACCCGTGAGGCGGCGAAATCTGTTTTAAGGAAACTGTTTCCGTGCAGGCTTCACGCCGGGTTTCCTCAAGCACTCGACCTGTGAGGCGGCGAAATCTGTTTTAAGGAAACTGCTTCCGTGCAGGCTTCGGTTTTGTCTCTTTACCCTTTATTGTTTTTTATGTATTTCTGTTGAAATTTAGTTGTAATTATCAGCATATGTTCTTGGTATATAATTTGTTTTCTTCATAAATCTATTTATTTAATTTCACAATTTTGAACAACAATTATTCCAAATTAAATTTCACTAGGGGAAAAATATATATGTTCAAAACACTACGGCTGTGTTTGTTTGTGTTTTCAAATTAAGTTTCAACACGTGAACTCCCGCTTCACGTTTGGATAGCACGTTCAAAATATAATTCCGCGATATAATTCAAACTACAGTTTGAAAACCCGTTTGGTAGCTTATACTTCAGTTCTCCACTTTCAACGTTTCTGCCTTCTTCTTTTGATCTGAAAAGCTTCCATGTCCATCTCCATCGTCTCTGAAAATTTCACTTTCACGTGAACCTCATCTTTCTTTCTCTGTATCAAACATCAGTACTCAAGATTTGTCACGGGTAGGCTTCACTCAGACTCATTTTATAAATAATGACTCCTGTGAACCCGCTCCCTACCATCTTCCACAAATCGACTGACTTACAATTTGTGCGTTGTGGAAGATTCTTATTACGGGCAACCAAATAACGACAAGTGCGAGGTAATGATGCTCACAAATTTATTTACATATTTTGTTATAGGGAAATGATTTGAAAAATTCATCCCTAATTTTATTCAAAAAAAAAATTTTCAGATCAAATTTATCAAATCTATTGTCGAATCAGACGAGCAAAGAGTGTCACATTCAGTCAGTATACACATTCCATCACCGGCGATAACTATTCAACTCCCACTAATCTGGTAAATAAGTCATTCATCTGATATGTGCAAATGATTTCAGACGAGTCGAAATCAGTTCTGAAATGATTTTTGATAAGTGTAGCCGAGTATTTTTTTAGTTTCAGATCTATTCTGATTTGTCTGAACTGTTTCAACCTTTTGCCAAGAAGAATAGCCACTAATCTAGTAAATAAATCCATATCTGTTATGTGCAAATGATTTCAGAGAAGTGGAAATCAGTTCTCAAATGATTTCTGAGAATTTGTAGATGAGTATTTTTTTTTTCAGATCTGTTGTGATAAATTCTGAACTGTTTGAACCCTTTGCGAGGAAGAGAAGTTGAGCTGGTTTACCTGGGACATCCGGCCGGTCGTCTCCTGGGTCATCCGGCTGGTTGACCGGCCGGTCGACCAATCTGTCATTCCCTTCGGCCCGTGCTTCTTCTGCTTATTTCTTCCTTACTTCTTCTTCTACTGGTTTTTTTTTTTACTATTTAAAGAGAATGTTACCTGATTTTTTTATTTATTTGTGATTATATTTCTACTATTTAAATTCAAATAATCTGGTACGTATTGTTTTCCTTGAAATAAAATCATCTGCTTTTTATTTTTTATATGTGTTCTCCTTCAAACCATTTTGCTCTGTTATTCTTGTATATCCACCCCAGACTAGTTCAAATAAAATTTGTATGTTTATAGATGGACGGAAATAATTCCGATGACAATCAAGATACAAAAATGTGGACGCCCAGAATTGAAACGAAATTAATAAACATGTTGAGAGATGAGGTTAGAAAAAATCAAACAACGAGCCATACTACTTCATGGACAATTAGGCATTGGAATCATTATGCAAATCAGTTGCACGACATGTATGGATTTCGGTATACAGGAAAGCAGGTGCGACAAAAATATCAGCGATTGAAAGCTGATTACCAGACATTTAAGCGACTCCAGGCGCAGACTGGTCTGGGATGGGATCCCATTGTAGGCACTGTTGTTGCACCCGATGAATTTTGGGATAAGGTTTTTCATTAATCTGTACTACTTTGAAATTATATTTTAAACATTTCATGATACATACAATGCTTAATTCTATATTTGTAATTGTTGTAGGTTAACAGAAATGTGAAGAAGTTTAGGACAAAAAGATTTGAATATTTCCAAGAAATGGCAGAAATTGTTGAAAATTGTTGTGCCACAGGGGCATTGTCTCGTGCATCCACACAAGGAGCCCTTGACTCAGAAGAAGAAGATGAAATGTTAAATAAATTTTGGAACCCTGATGTTGGTGGGAGTAATGTTGCTGAGGCCATTCCTGTTGACTTATTCGGAGATGAGTATATGGATCCTGCAAAGGGAAAAGGTCACAAGAGGGGCCCTACAACCAGCCAGACTGACAATGGTCGTTCCAAAAAGTCACGGTCAAGTGGGTTTGATGATGTGTGCGCAACTTTTAGATCCTATGTACAAGCAAAAACAGGACATTCACGTGCACGAGAAAATAAGACAGAGGTTGTAAGTGCAGGTGGTGATGATTATTCCCTTGATGCATGTCAAGATGCATTGCTAGAGCTTGGAGACATACCACCGTTACAATACGTTAGGGCACTGACACTGTTCAAGGATAAGGAATGGCGAAGGTTTTTTATGCGCACTCCTACCCATTTGCACGTAGCCATGATCCTCGCTTTGCAGTGAAGTGAGAAGTTATGTTTTGCTTGTGTTAGCAAATCTCCTTGTCTAAACTGTTTGATGATTTCATTATTCCTGATTTGGTTTTTATTCTTTTTTTTCATTCCATGATATCCTCTTTCCTTTTCTATCTTCGTATGTTTTTTTTTTGTTGAACTTTTAAGTAATTTCTGTTTTATTAAAAATATGTTGTGTTATTACAATATGACCACGTATTAAATAAATTTTGTTCTCGTATGAATTTTACTGTACGCTGGTAAATGACTACGGCCGACAATTCATATACTCACTTTTTAAATATGTTTCACCAATCATGCTAAGTGTTATAGCATGAATAACATATTTTATAATTATGTTTTTACTATGATGTAGACAAAACCATTTGTCATCCGACAGAGAAAACAATACAATGGAGATCTCATCAGAGGAGGATGAGGTTATTGATAATTTCATGGATTTTTTGATGATTGCTTTCATGCATGACCATATTAACGCGTCAAGTAGTCGCCGATCGCAACGAACGTGTCCATTCAAAGGTGATGATTACATCTTCGGCCTATTAAATGGCCATCCAGAAACAATGATGAACATTTTGTGAATGGATGCACACGCATTCATTTTATTGAAAGACACTTTACTCCAAAATGGCTTTATCGATACTGAACATATACATATCAGTGTGGAGGAATTGCTTGGAATTTTTTTATACACTTTTGCACAAAATGATCGCCATCGACTACTGGCAGATAGATTTCTACACTTCACGGAAACAATTTGTCGGCACATAAAAATTGTTATGCGGGCATTGTGCAAGCTTGCATCAACGGTTATCAAACCAAGTAACCAAGACGACATACTGGCAAAAATTTTAAATGACAGGAGGTTTTTTTCCTGGTTCAAGGTACGAACAATATGATTGTCCTGTAAGTTATACATATCAATAAGGGTTAATAAATATTTTTTTTTATTATAAAAGTAATATCCAAGTTTGTTTCACTTTTAATGTCAAACAAATATCTGTCAATTAGGATTGTGTCGGTACTATCAATGGCACATTGGCGGATGCATGGGTCCCTGCTTCAAGAAAAAATTCTTTCCGCGGTCGGAAATCAACGGTATCGCAAAATGTACTCGTAGCTTGCGACTTCGATATGTTGTTCACATTTATTAATTCTAGATGGGAAGGTAGCGCTCACGACAACGCTATTTTGGTTGAC